TGGAATTAATTAGTCAAAATTACAAATTTTGCTGATGTTTATATCTTTGACGTAAAACCATAAACCAGACTGCAAAAGTAATTTACAAAGATTAGAATGTTGGTGTGATACTTTGGTTTCTTTTATTTTTTAATAATTAAATGTATAATTTATAATGATATATCAAACTGAAATCTCAAAGGAATTGGTATAAAACAAAAAACATTTTTATCCCTAATTTCTTTTATTGTGGAATTCTGGCAACCCCACAATGTAAAAATAAATAAATAAATAAAAATAGCCGGCAGCTGGGGTTGCCAAAATTCCACGGTAAAAACAATTACCCTGTTGGAAATCATGTTGTTGGAATGGTTCTGTTTTGCTGCTTTCCCCCTCTTTTACCACCAGACGGTGCCAAGAGGCTGTTTTTTCGGTGGTTCCTGGATTCCTGCACACCTGCAATTAATCAGATCGTCTGGAGGAGTATATGAGGACGGAGCTGCCAACACTTGAGATCCAGAGTGTTAGCCAGTATTTGGTACTCCAGCCCTCTGAGCTTCTCACTGTGATCTCCTGTTGTGGACCTCAAGTGATATCTCCTCAGGTTATTCCTCATGATGCTGTGGACCCACTGGTTGCTAGAGTTCCACTGATACCTCCACAGTAAACCAAACCTCCTTGGATTACCCTGTCATCAGTCTCACTCGCTCCTCGCCTTCTGTGATCCAAAGCTTACCTGTCCGCCTGCCACCGCAACCTCTTCGTCGGTCAAGCAGCAACCCTCCACCTGAACCAAACCCTGGTAACCACAGTGATTCTTCCCCCTGACCTACCTCCACTCAAGTGAGACCAGTCCATTTATTCTGACACTGCCGTTTTCCACGACTCCTTTTTTTTTTCTCTTTTTTCACATTCCTGTGCTCCGGTGATCCAGATTGCAGACTTTCTTCAGAACTCTATTGTTGATCATAATTGTGTGTTTACAATAAACGTATTTAACTGATTTCTGTTCTCCGCGTGGTGTTCTGCATGTGGGTTAAGAAATTACACTCCAGGACATGTCAGTAAAATATGCTTTTTATTTTATGGTAAAACGCCGGCAGCCGGGGTTGCCGAAATTCAACTGTAAAAAACAATTGCGGGTAAAATCTGTTTTGTTTTTTGAGATAATTTGTTTCTCTCTCTTCTTTGCTTTTTCTCTGTCTTTGAAGTCTCCCATTTTAGCTCATTTGGGATTAGGTAACTTTTTGTAATCCATTCAGCAGCTGCCAGATGTAAATAAAAATAAGCATCTAGATGCATAGCATTTAAATCCAAAATGAAAAATCTTTTTAAAAGTAATCATTTCCAGCAAAAATTTTTTTACCGTATTGGAAAAAAAGGATTACACTGCTTGGAATAAAACATCCACTGTATCACTCTGCCACATTGTGGGGCATGATTGTAAGCTGTAATTATGTAAAAGTTTTTTACTGTGTGCATACAAAGGATAATTTAAATACAAAGAATTAAATGTTTAACTTTTGAAAGTCAAGAAGGATCGACAGTCACATGGGTCTGGGCAATCTCAAATCATAAGATAACTAACAAAAGCTTAAACATGAATATGTAAATTGGAAAAAACAAAGATCAGTAGCTACAGGATGTTGATAAAGCATGTTGTAAGGCAGTCCATTAAAACATGTATTTTTTACAGATTCAACCAGTTGATATAATTTGCAAAAGGCTGTGCGTTTCAATTAATCTTTCAGGTAATTAGAACTTTGTTTTGATCACAACAAACACAAAGTGTAAGCCATGAACTTGGCCTCTCAATGGACCAATTTACTAGAACAAATGAGGTATTTCACAATTACTTTTTGAGACTAAACTCATGGGTTGGGCTTTAAAAATATTGGTACACACAGTCACATTCGCAGATATCTTCCTGCTGCCGACACTGAAAGAAGCCTCCAAAAGAGTTGCAGCGAACAACACGGGAGGAACATTAGGTAAAGCAATTTAAAACTATCTTAGACCATGCAGAATTTATGGTTTTCATTTTAATTTTGCTAGTATTTCTGACAAACCTTGTCTTTTCTGCTTTCAGATTAAAGATTTTCTTACTGAGGCTCCATCTTCCAGCAAACGCTGTGGGAATCAGTGATGTCTTCCTCTAGGACTGTTTCAAACACTTCTGTCATCATTCACCCTCCAGGCTTCTACATCTTTGGATTTGAGTCATTTCCCTTCATATCTGTGTATTTCATCTTCCTGGCATTTGTTTATGTGTTTTCAGTGATGTTTAACTGTTTGCTGATTTATACAATTGCTGTGAGTCACAGTTTGCACACTCCAAAATTCTTGGCCATCACCAACCTGGCAGTGATAGATTTAGTGCTTAACTCCTGCACCATTCCTGGCATGATAAAGATTTTTCTCATCAAGGATAACTTTGTTCCATTTAACCTGTGTCTTGTGCAAATGTTTGTATATTATGCATTCTTAGCACTGGAATCATATGCACTCACAGTACTAGCCTATGACAGACTGATTGCTATATGTTTCCCTTTTAGACAAAGCTCAGTCAACACAGTGCGCAGCATGTGCTGCATTATCAGTGTTACCTGGTGTCTAGCTGTTGGAGTGGCAGGATTTTCAACAATCATAATGACAAGACTGTCTTTTTGCAACTCTGTCAGAGTGGTTAGTTATTTTTGTGACTATGCACCTGTGTTTCGACTTGCCTGTAATGATAACTCGTTGCAATGGTCCACAGCTTCATTCTCCTCCATTTTTGTCCTTGGAGTGCCTTTTGTTTTCATTTTCCTCTCCTATGTGAGCATCCTGGTGACTGTGTTCAGGATGAAATCTGTGGACCGACGAGTGAAAGCTTTGGCTACATGTGTTGAACATATTATTGTTGTTGCTGTATTTTATATTCCTATTTTTGTTATTTTTGCTATTGGGTTTTATTCAAGGGTAGTTGAACCAGAGAAGAGAGTTCTGAGTCTGTCGCTGGCATCTTGCATGCCTCCTTGCATTAATCCTGTTGTTTATTCTCTGAAAACTAAAGAGATCAAAATCAGAGCACTGGCTATCTTTAGAAAAACTAAAGTTAATGCAAAAATCTGAGCAAAATCCAAATCAATCAAATGTAGACTGTAGAAGTAACAAATAACCTAGAAAAAAAAGTCATGAACAGATCTTGTCTTTTTTTTTTTTACTTCTTTCTCATATAAGGATGTCACTACACCTAATATCTTAATATTATACTGTAGTATAATTTTTTGTAATCTGCACCTTGTAAAGTCAATTAAAACTGAGGGTCCAGCCTACCACAATTGTCTTCTGAGGTTTGATTTTATATGTAAATATGATTTAAATTATGTCAGGTATTTGAATTCTCTAAGTGGAAATTGGTTGGAACAGTGCCTTGAAAATAAATTTTACAATGGACAACAACATTTGCATTAGCTGTTTTACTTCACCTTGTTACATTTACTGTTTAAATTTAACTTAGTTGGTTAGTTTAGGTTCTTTGAAGACCCGTAACAAATGAGAAATAAAATAGTCTAAAATGGAAATGAACTTTAATCAGATTGATTCAAATGTTCCACAATTCTGAAATATTTTATGCCTGTTCTGCAGTATTTCTATCATTAAATATTTGTGAATATGTTAATCTAACGTTATAAATTGGCCTACAATGTTGTTTGAGAAAATTACCAGCATTATGATATGGTAGCTAAAATATGTGAGAAAATTTTCTTTAAATGTAGAATCATCAAAAGGAGAAGTATGCAAAATATTTTTTTTTGTAATATTATATTTATATTTGATTATTATATTTCCAGCAGTTCCTTTTAATATACAATATTTATATTGAAGCCGAGAGGCAGTAAAAGGACTAAAGGCTGACCTCTAGTGGTTAAATGTGTAAAGTCTAACTTTGATATAGAAGCATTGTTTAATTGTTTTATGAATTTGGATAAAACATAATACAGAATCATCCTACCAAATATCAATGTTAAAGAAAACAACTGAGTAAATTACAGTTTGGGTGAACAAAACACATTTCATCTTGCTATGTGGACTAAACAGGAAGCACCAGAAGATGCAAATTTACATATTAACATATTTTTGGCAGCTGTGTATATTAGCTTATCACAATAACATCATCATGAAAACAGCTTAGCCTACAAAATAAATTATAAAAACTTATAGTTAAGATTTCCTTTGTTAAAAACAGCAACAGTGTTGGAAAGGTTGGGGCATGAGGTCCTCCGTCCAGAAGCAGCTCATCTACAAACATCTACAGTCATCAAAATGGACATTGACCCTAAGCATGCCACCAGATTAGTTACAAAGTTGCTTCCAACAAAGTCTCTGCTTTAGAGAACCACTGCTGTGGTTGGATATTATAAGATGTATGTGAGGAAATCCGTCCAGACTCAGATACAACAGCTCTGTCAGGGGAAATCTGCTAAAATTTAGCAAAATATTTTGAAGGAAACCGAAAACGTTTCACCTTTGTCATAAAGAATAAATGACAATTTTACCACATAAAGAGGACGTAGGATATACACTTCTGAATTTATATAAAGAAAATCACATTCTCTCCCTTATTATTCTCACATTTAGCAATTAAAAATAAATTATGGTAATCCTAACTGACCTAAAACAGAAAAAGTATTGTATGTTGTACGGCGCCAATGCTTATGGATAAGAATGCTCATAAGATGTTCACTCTATAATTTCATAAGCAGCTTCTATTTGATTCTGAATTTTTCGATTTCAGAAAAATCCCCATTGTGGGACAGTAAAGAATAATTCTGAATAAAAGTTAAAACATGCAACATTTGAAGGAATAAAGATCCTCTAGTGACGCCACAAAATGGCTAATTAGAAACTAAACCAATGTCTCATCTCTTCAACTTTATGTTTGCAATACTTCAGAACTTTGGAGCAGATTGAACCAGTTGTAATTATTAACAATGGGAGTTTAGTTACTCAGGTTACTAGATCAACATTTAGATAATTAGGTCCTAGTTTCATGCAGAGCAAATGTTTATCAGAATAACTTCAGTCTTGATCTCTCAAGAGGCCAAATTAGTAGAATAAACAAGGTATTTCAAAACTACTTTTTAAGTACGTAATGTGAGTTGAATCTCATGAGAAAGGCAGTGTGTGGTTACAGTATGCAGGCCGCAGTTGAGGCTATATAGTTAGACTTGAATTTAACACGGACCCTACATTTTATGTTTTCAGTAAGATTTTCTTACTGAGGCTCCGTCTTCCAGCAAACGCTGTGGGAATCAGTGATGTCTTCCTCTAGGACTGTTTCAAACACTTCTGTCATCATTCACCCTCCAGGTTTCTACATTGTTGGATTTGAGTCATTTCCCTTCATATCTGTGTATTTCATCTTCCTGGCATTTGTTTATNAAAACCCAGCGCATACAGGTTCATGTTTTTTTTGTTTAGTTTTTTATCCATACCTCTTCCTGCGCCCCCCCTCCCCCTTCCGCCCTTCAATGGCATGGTGCCCCCCCTAGGGGGCGCGCCCCACAGTTTGGGAACCTCTGGTTTAAAGAAAACAACCTGAAAGCATTTTTTGCCCTTGGTTTTGGCTTTGGCTTAAAACTCACTTGCCTTGATTTCAATTCAACAAACCCACCAGACTGTGCTCATTACTTCTCAATCTGTTACTGTTGCAGAACATCTAAATAATTCATGCATAGCTGAATCCACTCACTAAGTAGCTTTTCAACCTGAAAATGTGCTACTGTTGACACACATATCCAAGAGTGCTAACCCATGTCTGTCATTTTTTTCTGAATTCAAATAATCCATTAATTTAAATGGATAACTGATGTGAATAAGAGTGAACAGAGTGTCCTCAAGCTATTTCTTTTCCATGGACATAATGGCCTCATATACTAATAAATTACTAGCTTTCTATAGATTTAAGCACAGCCACATAACCTAAATACACTACCCAAGAACATCACTCAAGTCCTGCAGCATGAATCTCCTGCCATAAATCATGACTCTTCCCCTTTAAATCAGTGTAAACAAAATAAAAGGGTTCCTTTTATGACATCTACCTTTACCTTACCTTTTTTCTTTTTTAAAAAACTGATGTAAACAACTTCATAATAAATGTTAAATGTTTACAGAAACATTTAAACTATCTGTGCCATTACACAGGGGATCTGAAAAGGCCTCTGACTGAACACACCATTACAGACTCATTGAAATTGATACTATGGATTAAAAACGGGTTACTATCTTGATGCATGGGAACATCTCTTCTTCAGTTTAGGAAGCTTATTTTTCCAATCATCTACATTACAGAAAAGATGCACAAGTCTGGACTGTCGCTTCTTGTAGATAGCTTCACTGCTGCATCTCCAGTCCAGTATGTTGTCCATGTAATAACAATTTACAGTCATCTCCTTTGTTTTGGTCAGATTCAGGATAAGATGGTCGCGCCACAAAGCAATCAGCTCTCTGGGCTCAGCTTCGGAGCTGGGCCCTGGAATGGTATTTGTTTGCGGGTTTATGTGTTTGTGTGCCGATTTGGGGTAACTTAGTGGGAAAATTCATGATGCAGTTCATGGGTGCTGGGAGTTTATTGAGAGACTGGGACTGTTTCATTCTGGGGAAGTTCTGATTGGCTGGATTGTTTGGACTTTTTTTTTTCTTTTTTGGAAATATCTCTGGATGGATTCTGGAGTTGTGACCGTGGGTCGGGGTTTCCCCTTCTACTGCATTATCTCAGGCCCAATATGAATCTACCTGCTTACCTTTCCCAATCACTTTTCATATATTTAATTTATTTTATTTTATTTTACTTTATTTAAAACATGTTTTTAAAAACAAAGAAAACAAGTAGCCAGTAGGACGTTTTTTTGTTTTTGATTTTTCTGAGCTGCAGAAGCATCTCCTGGATTAATTGAATCCTGCTAATCCACTTCCTTTGCTTTTGCAGAGCCGTTTCAAATCTTTTTTCTGATTATACAGTCATGAAGCTTCACAGAGGCAGAGATAATGATCTTGCAAACAGACCTTATAAATTGCAGATACTTCGGCTGGGTCCTTATCACTGCTTCAAGAGTGAGATCTAGAACCTCATGTTCCTCATCATGATTGACAGATGATGTGCTTTGAATTTCTTCCTCCTCTCTCTCTTCTTTCCTTTTCCTCTGTCTTTGAAGTCTCCCGTTTTAGCTCATTGGGGATTTGGGATTACGTAACCTTTTGTAATCCATTCATCAGCTGCCGGATGTAAATGAAAATAAACATCAAGCTGCATAGCATTTAAATCCAAAATGAAAAATCTTTTTAAAATTAATCATTTCCAGCAGAAAAATATTGCCGTATTGAAAAAAAGAATTACACTGTTTGGAATAAAACATCCACTGTATCACTCTGCCACATTGTGGGGCATGATTGTAAACTAATGTTAGAAAATGACAAAAACAATGATGTGCAAGTTTTTTACTGTGTGCATACAAGGAATAATTTCAATACAAAGAATTAAATGTTTGACTTTTGAAAGTCAAGAAGGATCGACAGTCACATGGGTCTGGGCAATCATATATTATAAAATAACAAAGAAAAGCTTAAACATGAATGTGTAAAT